CCCCAAAACCCCAAAACCCCAAAACCCCAAAACCCCAATCTATGGATATTTAGTTGAGTCAGCAAAATTAGGCAGAGTCTGCATCCATTTCTGAACTCATGCTTTCTGAAAAACTGCTCTGAGGGTAGAAATTAAAGCCTTGATTCGAAGGCTCTCTTTCACGATGGCGATGAATTGAAAGGTTGTGCAAATATTGAATTCTCGGAGAGCGATTGGGTTCCAATGCTGGAGCACTAGGATCATATTGAGCTTGAAGTGAATCCAGTTGTATATCATTGATTACAGGGGAGTCAGGTTGGTTAACAACTTGGTTATTGTCAGGAGAAATAGGATCAAATGGCTCATCAGCTCCAATCCGATGCAGTGAAAGGTTTTGAGATCCATAAATATTTGGAGAAGGCTCATAGTTTTCAGACAAATCTCTCCTGCTCTGAACTGTTCTATCAACTTCCTTTCTTTCTTCAGAAATATTAGAGGCTTCTTCAAGTTTTTCCGGTGCTTTAAATTCCTCACTCTTCTTTTTGATTAAGACTCCTCTGCTATATTCATCTCTGACAATATCAATGAAGTTCTTCCTACAGAGCGGACATGTTTTTTCTTTCTTCGACCAGCTATCGATACACTCCAAATGGAACATATGACCATGACTTTTAGGGTTTCAATGAAGCTCCATGATGTTCTCTCCAACCTCGAAGTCTTCCAATCAGACTCAGCAGCTTGGACATGCGTTGGTATCTTCCTCTGTGAACTTCCGGCTCCAATTCTTCATCATCATCTCAACTGAGAGCGTAGAGTCAAGTCTGAGGAACTTCTTCTGATGGTTGGCAGCATCCATGAACGCAAAAGCAAGATTTCTCATATTCACTTGGAATCCTTCGTTATTTTGAACATTATTGATGTAATTACTTGGGATTTTCTGTTCTTCTTCCCTTTCAATCTCAGCATTATTTGAGTTATCTTCTAATTGATTTCTTAAGTTAACTTGAGGATGATCGAAATCATTACGATTTTCTCTCACAACATCTACATTTTCAATATTTTGTTGCTCTTCTGCTCTAGCTTGAAGATGATGATTTTTCTTACATTTCTTTAATATAAAGGTAAAGAAGTTTCAGATACTCAATCAAGCAATAAAAATCAATCCGATGACAATAATCATAACATATTTAGTTATATCAAACATATTTAATAAGTTGGTCACAATATAGAAGTAGCAGAATAGTCAAGCAAGCTCATAATCCTGGGAGTTTTGTATTTTGATCAAATATTGAAGATTTAGAGCACAGAATAAAAATCTGGCTCCGTTAATCCATATCCACCATTGTTCTTCAAACTTTCGAATCTTTTTCTTAAGCTTATCCAAACATTTTGAGTTGAAGTAGAAGAGGTCACACAGGAAAATAACTTTGCAGAGCTTCAAACACCTATAGCAATTAAATCATCAATAAAAATAATAGGATCAACAAGAGATGATAAAATAAGGCAAAGACTAGCGAATCAATGTCTCATTTGAGACTTCTCGTGTAATCTAACCAATACCAACATAACTGTAAAACCTTCGTTCGATTCAGAAAATTATGTCTTTTTATACCAATAAAGCCTAAATTCTGATAAACGAACTATTCCTAAACAATTCAAAATAATTCGTCACAAATTTATACATCTCAAACACATCACCTAAAACATCCAGACCCCACACCACCAATATTCCCACCTTACCTCCCATCAACCCTCAATATATCCTCCACTTTCACTCCTTTCAAATCACACACCGCTGCAAACCCTATAACCACCATCACTTCCTTCCTCCCCTCCTTCACCGTCACTTACCGAACTGATTATACACAGTAATTACCACCTGCGTACACAACATCCCATATGGAAGAACCACTCTTCCACTGTACTGGAAGGCCACCCTCCCTATGTACACATATCACAGAGCATAGTGGAGGTAAACTCCCACTATCATGGCTAAATTTCCTAATGTTTTCATATTCAATTATTACCATCCCTCCCGGGGTTTTGGGGTTTTGGGGTTTTGGGG